GTGTGTGTGTGTGTGTGTGTGTGTGTGTGAGAGAATATTCCTGTCAATATAGAGCAGTGTTGGCACGAGGGGGGATTGCACACAGGTTGCATTTTCTCCTTTCGTGGGTGTAGCTGCTGGTCAGATGGAGCAGGGTGCTGTGTCAGCATTCCATACGGCAGCTGAGGGGAGAGTGGATGAATCCCTCCACAGAGTGACTGAAGCGCAGCAGAAATGTCATTTATCTCTGCCCACTTGAACGTGGTCCAAGCGCTGAAATGTCGCTTTTCTTATTTTGGTGAATTCAACGCGGAGAACGTTAAATGACTTATAATTTACCGTCATGTTTCATGTTTCATGGTGAATTTGACTCCATCCACTCCGTACGGCTGATTTAAACAGTGAATGACGCTGCTTTTGTGCGTTAAATCTGCCAATTTGAGTGAAAACATGTAGGTTTCACTTTCAGCTGTCCACTGATAAAAACACAGCAGCTCATGTGTTTTCTGGAGGTAAAATATTTTTATTCTTAGAGGGCAATTCAGCTGAGTAATGAATAATAAACATTTTTAAAAACCTATGAATTTTGTGCTGCTCTTCACTACAGCACAGCACGCTTTATTCACCTTCATCGTTGTCTTCGTTATTCATGTTTGGTGATTAAAGCATGATGATGCTCTTACTGTAATAGACTTATACTTTACCTTAGTGCTGCCCATGACCAAACGTTTTCTTAGCGTACTAGTCATTAGTTCAGCCCATTAGTTAACCAGTCGTCACACACTTAAACACGCATACTTATCGAGGATGTCTGACGTTGGAGTAAGGGGCCATGCTAAGTGGCTAATGTAAGGCTACACACTTGTTTCAGATCATAGCCGTATTTAACGTGTGAATACAGCCTACGGAGTTCATATGTCACCTTTTCTGGGGATGTCCTTCATCATCTTGAAACGATGGCGTGCTTTGGATATCCTGCCTGACATATGTAGAAACCACAGGGACCAGCTGAGTAGGTGATAATCTGTCCATCAGTGTTGCCGCTTCCTGTGGAGTTGTGGCGTTTTTGTTTGTTTGATTTCCTGTGAATCCAAACTGATTCAGTGTCTGTACATAACATTTGGCTGAGCATTAGGGGTAGCCCTGGAGGTCCCTCTGGTCCTCACAGTGCTGTTTGTGCATTCAGAGGGTTTCTGTGTGATGCCCTTAAGTTGCATCCATTATTTACCCCATTCAAGTTTTGTGACTCAGATTTTACTTGAACACTGTTAATAAAACGGTTTGATTTTAGCATCTCAGAGGTGGTTTTCACATTAAAACTCAGAAACAACATAGTGAAAAATGCACATTTCCTGTCTGCCCTCATCCAGCAGCGCTAATGAAAACAGTAGACGTCCTCTTCTCCACTTCCACCCTTGATTTGATATAAAGCAATAAATAAATGCTTTGGGAAACGTGGAGTCCATCACTCGTCTAGCCTGTGCATAATTTGGGGTTTGTGACAGCAGTGAAATCACACTGCCTAATGAATTCTGTCAAGTTATGACAGATCTGTTCACACACTCGCAGCGTTTTTCATCACAGTTCTGATGAAGAGAGGACAGAATGCAGGATGCTATATATACGACATAAAGGAAATGACCCTAAGGAGCTCAGCATATCGTCTCCAATCCTGTCTGGGTATCAACATATGTCTGTGATCAGGTAGAAAACTTCCTTCAATCCAACATTTCATTTTTACCTTTTTCTTATTTTTGAAAGAGCAGCGTCAATACATTTGGTTAACCTTTCTTTGTCTTCCAAAGCTGCTCACTCAGCACTACATGCAGTCGCATCCCTCCACGGTCCTGCCCTTTAAACGTCAGCGTTGTCATTGAACGCTTGTCTTTGCTGGTGACGACTGTCCTTTCACGCAGATTAGTTCAACTCGTGTCATGAACGAGCACACGCAGAAATGCAATATGAACTCATCCTGTGGAAGTTGGGTCCTGCCAAGATCGATACTCATGCCAGCACACTTAAGTCAGGCCATTATTCCTGTTGATGTATGGACCCCAGTGTCCTGGATCGTTCTAATGTAAGCAACTCTGAATGGATGTGTCTGTTGGACTTGGCCCAATCTGAGCAATGTTGTAAAGTAAAAGCCGGATCTTAAGCTGTCAGGCATCTGTTAATGACAGGGCAAACGGATAGAGGACTTTATTACTTTAGTATGTGATGCTGCCAATGCCTGGAGTCCAAGTTTGATTTATGCTTGAGTTCAGCAGTAATCCAGAGGTTGGTGCTGCAAGCTACTTGGAATAAAAGCATTCTCCACAAGTACACTGTGTTGTGGTGACGCTCAGCTGTTGTCTTGCCGTAGCACTTATTCTGAAGTCTGTCATGAGCTTGATCAGATAATGAAAAGCTTTTCCAAGGCCTGTAAAACATCCAGATGAAGGTTTGTCCTCTCTGTGTGTCTAATTTCCCTCCTATGATGGTGACAAATAATTACAAGGCAAAGCTTCAAAAGGAGCAGCGTTATATATGTGTTGCCGTGATCTTTGTGTTCAGCCTCCTCCAGCAGCTTTTTTTGTTGTTTTTTACCGTGAACACCATTTTATGTTCTGTTCACCACACTTGTCATGTAACTTGGTTGTTTAGGGGAAATGTTCTGACCTGTTTTAGACTGTTAGAGCAGCATACCAGTGTTGTTAAGGCATTTGTCCCAAACCATTCGGTGTCGTATTAATAATGACAAAAAAATAATGTATTTGTATAGTGTTTTTCTTACAAGAAATGCAGATCAGATTTCTTCTGTTCCGTCCACGATATAACCGAGAAGGATGCGGTAGTGTGACCTGCACATATGTACCCTGTTTGCTTTCTGTGTTGTGTCTGATATCATGTGAAACAGAGTCAGGCTGAGTGTGTTTGTAAGGCAGATAAAGAGTGATTTGAGTGAAGACGTAGCGCGAGTCTCTGGTCATTGGGAGCAGTTCTGTTCTAATGCCATGGACCTGTGTCTGGTCCAGGAGTACGCCTGCTCCTGCTTCGCTCTCTGGTGACAGTTAAACAAACTACTGATTCATTTATGAGAGGAGCAGATCATTCAGACCATCCACTGCCACTTCAGTCACACAGTTCTGATGAGGACGTTTCAGACGAGCAGTGATCTCACGCTGAGAAAGCCGGTGTAAGATTGTAAATGGACCCCCCATATAGAATATGGACCCCCTAATACTTTTAATAATATGAATAAATATGAACATAGACAACAAAATTCAACAGGTAATGAATAACAACAACCCTAAGCCGGGGTCCATATTCTGCTCTGGAATATGGACCCCGGGTCCATTTTCAAGGGGGTCCATATGCAACACTACACCGGACCTACTGAGACAAAGACAGGAACACCTTTGTACATACTGCTGTCGACGCAGTTTTGATGACACAACCACAAACTTTAACTATGAAACATTGAAGAAGCGCAGCATACACTCCACCAGGACACATGCTCTGATGTAGTCACAGCACCTTTGAGCTTCATGAAGAAGTCCCCACAGACACCGCCAGATACTGATGACTGTTGATACTCGAGATATTTACTGGCTTCATTTTTAATCTGCTTCCATCCAGCCTGCAGTTCAGACCAAAGAGTCTCAGAATGTTTTCATGCGACTGTCGGTTGTGACTGAGGAGTTCATAAGTTTTAGTTTTTAACTAAATCTGGTCAGATCAATTA